ATGTCGTTTCATTTATTCATGAGATTCGCGTAGGATTCGATCTCGTGTCACACGGTCACCATCTTTAGATGACTATGCGCTGTTCAAATGCCTAACCTCAACGATCGTACTGGAACTAATAATGCCAATGCGCTGTAACGATATCGTGGTAGATTATATTTACAATATACTTTTACAACGTTCAAAAATGTAATGACATATTTGTCGGTAAATGTTTCAAAGGACGTAACAACAATCACAATGCGATTAATATTGATACAATATTGTATAACTAATTAAATTTAAACACAATATGCTTGCAAAAGAGAGAGAAAGAAGGAATATTCTCTCTCTTTTGCGAGCACATTGTATGTCAAAGTTTGATTAGTTATACAATATTGTATCAATATTAATCGCATTGTGATTGTTGTTACGTCCTTTGAAACATTTACCAACAAATATGTCATTACATTTTTAAATGCTACAAGAGTATATTGTAAATACAATCCACCACAATATCGTTACAACGCATTGCCATCACCAGTTCCCGTACGATCGTTGAGGATAGGCATTGAACAGCGCATAGTCATCTAAAGATGGGTGACCGTGTGACACGGAATCGAATCTCACGAATAAATGAAACGACACAAAATATAAAATGCCAGTTTTTTTATTATGTAGACAAAATAATACTTCATTATATTTTTCTCAATCTATTTTAATTAATAATGATTTTTCACTGAATTTTTTTACATTCTTAATAAAATATTATCGAAATATTAATGAAATTATAAAGAAATTTTAATGAAATTGGGTCAAAATTGTGAATGCTTTTCAAAAGCATTTCAGCAAAAGTTCATTATATTTTCAATAAATTATTTTCATCAGATACAAATACCTCAATTGAGATCTTACATACGAATTTTTGCGGAAACGGCATTTGAGAATTCAATTGAGAATTCAACTGAGAACTGAATTGGGAATTCTCTTCTTATCTCAACAGAAATTTTTCAGTAGGGTGATACAACATTGTATCAATATTATTCGCATTGTGATTGTTGTTACGTTGTGTCAAACATTTACGTACAAATATATCATAACATTTTTTGAACGATATAACCCAACAAACACAGAACATAACTGTGATATAACACAGAAGTAACATGTAATATAACTGCTGTTATACGTTATTAACCCAGATAGACAAACCTACGCGAACAAAATTCAAGCAGACCTTGCTATCAACTTTTGATGACAAATAGATAACAAATTTGATGCAGGATCTGTTATATTAAATCTTGCTACCAAATTGTCGCCAAATATGCGGCAGAGCTTGTTGTCGGATAATTGCTGCAGATTTGCAGCAAAAACCGCGCAGAGCTTATACCTAGCAAACACAGTTATATCAATGTTATATAACTGCAATAGAAGTGATTAACATTAATGATATAACAGATAATATTGCATGAAAGTTACTGATATATTGCTGTTATGTTATTATTTTCCACTCATAGATGTAACATGTAATATATCATGTTATATTATGGTTATATAGGAACATCAATTAATGTTATATAACTGCAAAATAACTAAGTAATGTTCCAGCAAAGACATATGTTTTTTTTGTTGAATTCTAACGATTTATTCATTAGTATTGTTCAAATAAGTGATAATGTATGATTATTTTATCTAAATAATAAAAAAAAAACTGACATTTCTTATTCCGTATTATTTCAATTATTCGTGAAACTCGCGTGGTTTCGATCGTATGTCAGGCGGCACCCCCCCTTTTTAGATCATGTTGTTCAATGCTTAACAACGATCGTCCGGAAACTGGTGATGCCGATGCGCCGTAACGATATCTCTCTCTTGATAGATAATATTTACAATATATTGTTATATCGTTCAAAAAATGTTATGACATATTTGTTGGTAAATGTTTGACACGACAATCACAATGATTAATATTAATACAATGTTGTATCAGTAATCAAATTTTAACCTACAACTCGCAAAAGAGAGAGAATATTCTTTCTTTCTCTCTCATAATACTTTGACAGAGTAAGGTTATGATTAGACTCTTTGTAAGAACTCTAGTTTTACAATATCGTGATAACGATTCTTGCATATATTAAAATATCATATTTTATATATGAGAAACACCTAAAATATAATTTTACATTTATGTATAAAAATATTGTACAACTGAAATGTAATACAAACATTAGAATTCTTATATAACATGTTATATTAAAGTTATGTTGCTGTTATATTGTTGATGTAACTTAACCAGTAAATAACATAATAACATAACAGTTTTATAACATAGTTATATCGCAGTTATAAAGGAAATTAAGTAACCTCAATATTAATAATGTATAACAGCAATTATATTACATGTTACTCCTGTGTTATATCATAGTTGGGAGCGGTGCACTTGGACACGGTGCATTTAGACACAGCCAATCACAGCACTGTGTGATTAGAGACATTTGTATGGTCCCTTGGAACAGCGACTTGTGATTGGACTGTGTCCAATTGCCCCGTATCCAACGGGTGTATATCAGTTGGACACGGGGCAGTTGGACACAGTCCAATCACAAGTCGCTGTTCCAAGCGACCCTACAAATGTCTCTAATCACACGGTGCTGTGATTGGCTGTGTCCAAATGCACCGTGTCCAAGTGCACCGCTCCCTTAGTAAGTTATTAGATAAACATTTATAAATATTTATTTGGAATTACTTTTTTAAAATGTTATATATATATATATCCATACAGCACAAATGTTCAATAGATATCCTAAAAACGTTCTAAGAATATTCGAATATTCTTAGAACATTATTAAGATATCTATTGAACATCCCATACAGCACAAATGTCCGAAATATATCCCAGAGACATCCCAGAGATATCACATTATCTCTGGAATGTCTCTAGGATGTATTTCATACATTTGGTGATGTATGGGATTTGTGCTATATGGGTATATATATATATATATATATATATATATATATATATATAT